CAGATTCAAGTGAATTCTTTAATGTCTCGAAATTACTATCAAACAATTCGCAGGGGTAATCGAGCTTGTCATAACACATGTCTTGAAAAGATGAAGTCGTACTGAAACAAAAGCTTCTTTAAACTGGAAAATTGCAAAGTAACCAATGCGGAAATTTGACGATCAAGGATAGTTAGAAGGTTTCAATTACTCTGTGCCACAGAGTTTATATATCAACAATAACTAATTATAACTTGTTTTATTTTACAAGGAAGTATCTCTCTAACTATGAGGAATAAATGGTGCATGATACACAAACACAGGAAAATTTTGAGTACTCAAAATAACACTAAAAGCGCGACTGATAGTAGTTGCAAAAGTGCATAAATAGTACGCTGCCATCTAACTAGTTTCCTTTCACCTGGACACACTTGTTTCTAAATGTATGCTTTTGACAAAAGTTCGGTGAACAACAGCTAAGATGGAGCCAGCCACATGATACACATCCGCTCGAGCCACGACCATCAAATTCGGCGAAGTCTTCAGCACTCTCATCTTCCATGAGCGCTCTCAAAAGAGATTTTGCATACTCATCACCATTGCCGCGGTATGCATTATAACTTAGTACCATTTGAGCGAAAAGACAACTAACAACAAATATCACTAATAAACCACGATTCATAGTTGTCTGAGTCGTTGAGCAGTAGAAGTACGGTGTGTATAATCTAAGGCGACAAATACTTTCAAAGATACTTAAGCTACATTACATTTACAAGGATTTTAAGCTACATACTTGTACAAATTCCTAAGCAATATGTGACTGGTCAGTTAAAGACAACGAGTATTCTCTTGAGAATATGTCTGACTTGCATTCTGAGAGAATACATATATTTATAGAATAAGTATTAAATATTAATTAAAAATCATTCAACTGTGAGATCGAAACTGAGTCCTTCGTTTATATTAGATTATTTTAATTTATTTTACCGGAAATGTATGCGTGGTCCTTTAGACAGAGAAACAGTGCAGTGAAGAACAGAAAACTAATTAGGCCATCAAATAAATTTCTTTGTCTGATTGCTTTTGCAGGTAACACATTGTCAGAATCGATAGTGTGATCTGAAACATTCATTCAATGATTAGGATTGCGAGCAATTATTAGACAATTATTTACTAGACATATTGCGTATAGTTGTCGGTGCTGCAATGAGCGTGTGACTGCACTACCTATCCGTTCACCTCTTTTCCATTGTTGAAATGAACACCCGTTGGAATGTTTCACATTTAAAACATGATTAAATCATAGTTTGAAGATTCTGGCCATTCTTTTGTCTTAGAAGAAAGGTTTCGCTAACGCACCCTCAACATGGTTGCAAGTCGAATAAGATGAAATTATCTAGGAAAAAAGTCTCTCGAATGAAAAACAAACATGTCGCCTCCATATGTAGAAGCTTTTCTCATATGTCGGTGTTGTTGATTGTAAAATGTGCTTGTTCTTTGCGTTTTACAGGTGAATGGTGTTGCGTGCAGCAGTCTATTAAAAATTAATTAATTGTTCTGCGTAGAATTTGTTTTGTGCACGAAAGATCAATAAGATATTGTTCTAGTTGCATGTCATTATAAAAGTAAATGTAAACGCCCACATTTGTGTGGGTGATGAAACATTTAAGTGTGTTTGTCACCGTCTCTCGCCCCTAACGGTTGACCTTTTTGTCATTGTCTTTCATTTGTTGAACTGCTTTTCATTTTAGTTACTCTCTTTTTTTAATAGATTCCCTTTTTATTGATATATGATTGTGTTTTCTATTCATTTAATACATTCGTAATACAAGAATTAAAACAATAGGTCAACAACATGTTAGAATATAAACGTTCAACATCTCATC